GCGACAATTCGGACCGCGCAGCCGACCAAGTGTGTGTGTGTGTATGGTTGTGTGGATTGGCTTACTGTGGGATGAGAATCAGGCCCAATGATTCCCTCTTAACGTAGCCTGCATGGTACTCCCGCGCACACGGGAGCCTACCTAGCACAGTGGATTTGCTATGGCGCGTATTGGAGTGTGTTTCGCGCACACCGCCTGCGTCCCCCTCCATCTCCGGTGTTCTCGAAATGTATTGTGAGTGTGGGAGTAGTAAGAAAGTGGGTAAGGTCCTGCGCGAGTGATCCCATGGGACTCACTGCTTTGTTTCAACTTGCTGAGGCTCGTTTGAAAATAATGCGTGCTTTCCTATCTCTCTCCTTCACCTGTGCTTGTAGTTATGCAAGAAGCGTTTTTTTTACATGAATGCATAGGCTACTTCATCAGGAATCTAAAGGACAGCATCTGCGGTAGCTATATGCAATGCTAACAGAACTAACGAACCCACTGCAGTTGAAATCCCCAGAATGATACAACAAATAGATAACCTATCAAGTCAGTTTTTCCACATACCAAGCAGAATGGAGTTGCCGTGATATCCGTCGTGGACTTCAACATATTCGTCTTTACATTCTTCAGCAGTGTTCATCAAAGGTTGAGTGGAATCGACTGCTGAAAGCATATCCATGTGAGTGAAATGTAAGTAGACGCGTTCATCCCGCTCTACTCTGATTCTCCACTGACAGAAGCTTTCCTCCGCCAGAGGGGATTGTATTTTCGAAGATGAAAATGTGCCGGCGGATTGCAGGAGTGTTCGTCCACAGGCTGAGGAAATGATAAGAATTAGGTTACTGCACTGGATGTTCAAACGCCTACGCAGTATGGCATTTGAGACACATAATTGCAACATTATAATAAGCGCAAGACTCGATCCCATCGAACGTGTCTTCTTCTTCTTCTCAATTGCGTCTTGGGACACGCATGTTCGCCTGTATTGTTAGAATTATAAGCTGATATAATAGAGGCTTACACCTATATCAGCAGCTCTTCTTCCTTAAAACAATCCTATGCGGTACTTATATATTTAGTTTTAAAGGTTTAGTAAAAATGCATAGGGATTGGGAATATGAATCCAGGATGTCACGCAGAGTACGAAGGATGACATTTCGGTAACAGTAACAACATACATACTCCTAGCCGCATAATTTTGTATTGTAGACCCGGTGACTTTAGTATAGTTTACTTTTTAGTTTGTTATTTAGTTTTTTTTGTTTAACTTTCATATTCAGATTAGTTTCGTTTAGCTTCTTTTAATTAGTTTGGTATATAGTAATAATAAAGTATGCATATGAAAACTAAACGGTATAAAATTAAGCTAAGAACTAAACTAAATTAACAACTCAACTAAAAATGAAGCTAGGAAAACTGAAGCAAACCATAAGACTACGGCAGAGGGGTTTCTAGAGCCGTAGACCATCTTTTTTGTTACCGATATGTAAATTCACCGTGCTACTTTGCTGTTTAAGCCATCTGCGAACCGCTTCATAATTTCATAAGAGAGTCAAATTCGGCCTCGTTCCTTTTGAATCGAAACAAAATATTCCAGTGGGCATACTTTACAAAGGACACAATCATACGTCCTGATTACCGAACGCAAAGCGACATGTCCGTTCGTTTGCAATTGAAAATGCTAATTTAATGCAAATATGCCAGCTTTTTAAGTCTGTC